TGTTTCATTCAGAGAAGTGGCGGCTCTCTGCGCCGAAAACCGCCGGGACGGTCAGTTTCGAATGAAACATTTAGTGACGACAAAATTTCCGGCATGATCGATCGATGATTGCGACATAGTACTAAAATAACTTACGACGTGACTCAGCAGATATTTAGCAGTCCTGCGAAGTCTATTCCAGATAAAGGACGGTTGTGCAGGCCACCTCAACTGGGTTTGCGAATTCCCATGTACTTGTTAATGCAAGTATATCAAACAAACATACAGTGGCGGCCTGGCCCCCGGTGTGGACGATACCAGACCTACGCAGGCCTAAAACGGACGCCAGAAATGGATCACGGCACGAGTTAATCGGACGAGTACGCGTGAACCCATACGATAGTTCGATCGTCATTTCCGGGTGTAAGAACAGAGACGGTGACTTGCGCGTGTTTTAGTTTGTAATGGTAGGAGGCTCGCGTAACATCTACCACACTCTCTCCCCCTCCTCCACCTGAGCCCGGTGTCAAGACAGAGTCAAGAAAACCGGAGGCAGGAGATGGCGCAGCTGGTTGGCGTAGCAGGAGCCTGCGCAAAAGCGTACCATCGCACTCTCTGGTCCACAACGAACACTTGCCAGGATTTCATGAACCCAGAAAAAAAAGAGGGACGCCCCGGAATCCACTTGGCGCGGTGACAGCCTGCACCTAGGCCCATTTCCACATCTTGAATTTCGACGTTTGTTATGGCTGGGCATTCTCAGTAACGTCTACTGAATACCGATATAGCCGCCCGTGCTGACCTAGCGCACCTACCGTGTGACCTGTTTTAGAGATCTGTTTCAGTCTAAGCCCAGAAATACTGCTGCACTTGGGAGAAGTGTGGTGGCACGTCTAGGCATAAGCTTCCCGTCGTACCCTCCATTACACTTGATCCATCCTCAGATAGCTGACAAGCTCAGGAAGTCGATTGGTGCATGGGAGAGGATAGAGAAAGAGGGTGATGTCGACACGGTATATCAGCGATTTCCTAACCAAAATAAATCTGGTACGCTTGACAGTATAAATGGAGACGAGTCCCAGGAAGCAGACTTGAAGCAGGAGACACGATCGCTGGAGCAGGAGCTTTATTCGTCTGACCCTTCGGATCCCTGCTCGATCCCATAATCAGAGACAAAATCAGATACGGGTAGTTCATGCACAGAGGGTGCAGTATTTATAGGATACAGTTGCCATGCTACCGCATACATATGAATATTCACTCTTCTCCCTCTTCATCAAGGATCGTTGCACTTGGTGTGATGACTGTGTGATGCATGAACCACCCGTGTCTCCTATTGTCTCTGATGATGGTTTCAAGCAGGAATCCGAAACGTCAGGCGAATAAGACTCTTACCCCAGCGATTCTGCCCCTTTTTTCAAAATCGGTACGCTTGAGTCTATCACAACGAGCCAAGAGCCGTGGCTTTGAAGATCGCTAACTGAAGTGTTACTTCGACCCGAGTAGTCAGCATGCGTGTGCAGGTGGATTACTGTTGGTGGCGAAACGAGCATCAGGTTAAATGGCTCCTTCTGATCCGTGTAGACGGGCTCTTTATCTTCATTAGTCACTGCATCCGACCATACCTTCTGTCATCCCGACTCAGTCTTGTCACC